CAGACATGAATTGTGTGAAATGACCAACCCAAAAGTCAGTCATTTCTAGGGTTCAAAGTTAATAGGAAGGATTTCGTTTTAACTTGATAACGATGCAACTCTGGCTCGTATATTAGACATCTGGCAAGTCAGAAAAGGAGAAGAATGATGATGAAAGGGTGTGCAAGCAAACACATCACTGAAGGAAAAATAAATCACTGATTACAGGTAGGAGCCAGGACTGTCTGTAACAGCAGGCAGTTCAAAGCACAATCCTGTGCTTAAAAACCAGCGCAGCCATCTCTCTGCTTCTCAATATCTAGTCTCAATTCAATATATTCTAACACTCACCATACTTCCCCCCTTCAACAATGCACTAAGAAAATGCTAGCAATTTTATACAGACTTCACATCAATTAAAGAACAGTGAGAGCATGCCCCAGGCCATAGCTGAGCAAGACAGCTTCAATAACTACTGGACATAGATAATTTAAACATGCATTATCTATTTTTCATTCATTACATTAATACAAATTATTTGTGAAGTATAAAAAATTAATCCCTTTTTATTAACAGAACTTGGAGAAAAAATCATGAAGTATCTTGAGGGACTTGAGTCCACCTCTGAGAATGCCAACAACTACTAGCACAGAACACATGTGTAAGTAACTAAAGACATGAGCAAACAGTGAAGAAAAAAAATAAAACAATGCCTTCCCCTTAAGAAAAAACACACTAAAGGATGTCAGCTAATTTTTTTTTTTTCTTGGTCTTTCACACTGCCTTACTGAATTGATTTCCTGTTGTGAATCCTGCAGATGTTGCTGAAGAGGTCCCAGCTGTGCTTTCCCAGACTGTATGCAATGCTCAAGCTCTGCAGTTTCTTGCTGGAGGCGACTCAGTTCCTCTTGAGCTTTGGTCAGTTCATCTTCATATGCTGAAATCTTTGATTCTTGGCTTGTTATTTCAGCCTTCAGCATGGCAATCTAAAGCAGGAACAAATATTTCAAAGCCAAATAAAAGACCCACCTCCAATCGCATCCAAATACTATCATTTATGACCAGAAGTAGTGAAAACCTCATAGCTACTGGAAAGATAGATCACACCTGAATGAAAGGTTAATTCCCTATTGGTCTCCGTAAGATCATAGTATTCTAGCTGTTTTTCTGACCAACACAGATATTTCTAATACTGAAAATATAATTTTAGATCTTAAAGAAATATAGCTTTATATTAGGAAAAAAAAAATCTACATAACCACAAGGTATTTTTTTTTAACTGCTAAGAAATCAGTGCCAGTAATTAGTGCTTCTAATTACACTTACATTGCATTATAATTTTGCATTATTTGTTTGCACTTCACTTTATTGGTATGCAAGTATATCTCAGTATATTTGTTGAAATAACGATACTAAATTAGCAGGTCACTGAAATAAGTGACATGTTTCCTGTTCTCTGCTGGTCACAAAATCTTGACACTCAAGATGTTTATTTGTTCAAGTTTTTTCTCCTGCCCCAACAACTGTAACACTGCAAGGCTGGGTGCTTCAGAACAAGGAGTTTACTCTTTCAAGGGCCTTAGCCACTAGACCTTACCAGATGGGCCTCCTCTGCACACTTCTGCCTGATATCATTAAGTTGCTCTTCCAACTTGGCCTTCTGCTCATCAAGATCATTAAGGATTTCCTGTGCTTCCTCCTTCTGAGCTTGCAGCTTTTGCAGATTACTGCTCTCCCGCTTTACTTCATCTTGTAGATCCTGTAATTAAACAGATTAGCTTTGCATTTGTTCCCTCTATCCTCCTAACCACTAAATTCCGCAGCAAAAAATGCAGTATTAACTCAGATTTCAAAGTATCAACAAATTCTCTTTCAAAGCATTTGTAACACGTCAGACAAGCAAGTACTCTCAAATTCTAATACATAAAAATAATCAGGCTATTTCTTTTTTCTTCAGTAAGAAAAAATTCACTGAAACATTGAAGACTGTGCATCAACAGAGATTAACTGTCTTACTCCCAGGGAGGTTAGGGTTTCATTTTGAATTTAGAAGTTGTCTTTATTCAGATTGCTACATTGTCTCTCTCTCCTATGTTTTAGCAATATATTTTACCGAGTTCCTTAATAATAGGATTTCATTCTGCTCCTTCCCTCTTCAAAAACACATAGCCAAAAATAGGAACTTGTTTTAGCAACATAGTAAAGGGCCAAACTAGTGCATTATTAACCCAAATGCACTCCCTTCTAGAACCTCCCTGATTATTTTGCAATAATCAGCCAAAAACTTATTTTCCATGTGACAGTACTAACAAGAAATGCACACTCCATACACAACAATGTGGTATCTTTTAATTTATGACTGGTAAGTATGTATCTTGTGTTCTATGTACATTAAATAGCATCCTATGATATTTAGTTTATTTCTGAGCAATAGGAATAGTTATACTTCAACAAACTGCAGAAATAACATTGAGAAAAGAGTCGAGAAAATACTTTAGGAAGAAGAAAGAATCATTAAATCAAGAGGAAGAGATAATACAGGGGGAACAGAAAGGATTAATACAAACCAAAAAAATAGTAGATGAAAACAGAAGATTACAGCCTTTCTGAGAAAATATGGTCATTGAAGGAAGAATCATGAACAATAGTAAAAAGGTAATAGAGATAAAAGAAAATTAAGGAGGATAAGAAAACAAGCTGATGTGAATTTCTGATTAGATCATACATTTGTGTGCTGCTCTCTGCTAAAATCCTGTTGTCCTTTTTTAGAGGTGTTTGGGGGTTTTTTTGTGAGGGACATGGCTTATCCACATGTGCTAACACCTCCAGATAATCAGGACAAAAAAGCCAGATAGAAATAGAAAGGCATATGGTGCAGCAGTCAGATGCTAGTGAAACAGATAACCTCAAGACAATGGGAAGACTACCTAAAGAAACAGCATAGATGCTTTTATGAAAACAAAACAAAAAAACCCAAAAAACCCCTCCAAAAACCCACTCCCCCACATACAAACCCAAACCAAACAACAGAAAACACCAAAAAACCCTACACAAAAACCCCAAATCACATTTGAAGCTCAGTAAAGGGTGTGACTGATGTGCAGCAGTCAGAGTAGGTGAATTCCTGGTTATTTCTAATCTGTGAAAGACAAATGAGCACATAGACAAGAAGCTCTTACAGCAGCTACTGACTTGGGATAATTGGGACACCCTTGATCCATTCATTTTTACATTGCTTTGAAAAGCAATGTACTCAACACAAGCAATGAGGGGAAAAATAACAGCTTAAAGAGATTTCAGTCTCCTTTCTCTGAAAGGAAGCAAGAATTCATATACACACAAGCTAAATATAGATCACCTCCACTCTTGCCACTGTTCCTTGAATCCCAGTCTGTCCTAGGCACAGCAGTAGAGAAGCACTGAAGAGACCTGACTAAGCCTGATGGCTCCCAGAAGAAAGAGATGGAAAAAAACCCAACCAAAACCCAAACACAAACATGTTCATATAACCACTCAAAAATTAAAGGTCAGAGTAGAGACAATACACAGAACTGGGGCTAAAACTCAAAAGATACATCTTCATGAAGTGAACCAGGCTCCAATTAAGCTTTGATTTCAAAGAACACCCTCAGTGCAGAAGAAGCATCTTAATGTTCAGCACTGAATGAGATTCTGTATGAAAACTATTAACATATCTGAGGTGGTACAAACTAGCATTTTTATGGTAATGGTAATCTTCGTATTAGATTTTCAATGATGCTCTCCATGCTAATGTAGTGTGGGACAAGGGAAGTCTAGAGATCTGTATTTCCACAGATAGACAACAGATTTAATAGCTTGCCAGTCTGTACTTCCCCAAATGATTCATATGCTAACAACTGTTAAGCCTCAAACAGCACAGAAAAGTTAAACTTCGCTGACATTTTAATTGGTGCACTGCAATAAATAAAGAACAGGGAAAATCCAGTGCTGAGTGGGATATTTGGAGCATAAAACTCTGTAAGAAAACTCAGGATAACAAGCAGATCAGAAGGCTAGAAGAGAAGGCCAGAAACATTCTGGACTACTGGGAAGGCCACAATTCCAAAATGCCTTTCACCTTTTTTCTTTTTCCCTCCCTCTCCTCTGAAGCAGCGTCTCACATGCACTTACATTTTCTTCCCAACTGATATAAACATTTTATACTCTGTTCAGAAGTTACAACATGCGTTTGTTCTAAAAACTTCTTTACAGGTTTCAGTGTCCGTTGAAAAACAAAACACAGACCTTTTGACTTCACATCAATAAAATTCTAGGGAATGGGTGGTAATTCTTAGGAAAGCCAAGAGACTCGCCACTTACTTCAAAGTCTTAGCAGGTAGACTGACAAACCATGCCCACACATGTGACATGCTAGATGGAAGATAAGAGTCTGTGAATGTGGCCAAAAGCCCATTGCTTGAGGCAGTGCCTGGCTGCTGAGGCACACAGTCCTTCAGCATCTGTGTCTGGAAGAGCAGACTGGTGATGGGAGAGCAAAGGGACAGTCAGGTAAAGGCACTTTCAGATGCCACCTGGTATGTGGTCAAAACTTAATGTTTTAGTTACACATTAACTCTGTAAAACAAAGTTCTCTATTGCCAAGAAGAATATTTCATATATGAGTTTATTAGTCCCATATTTGTAGGAAAATGCTAATCCAACCACAGAATAAGTTTAAGAAATGGTGCCTTAGAAGTTTCCCATCTTTGTTATTCTGCCCATAACTTTTCAAGAAAAAACACCCCTTAATCTTTGCTACTGAAGAGCTGATATTTAATAAGCACATTAAAACCCACCAGTACGCTATGTTTTCCCTCCAACTCTTCTTCTGTCTTTGCTTTTTAGTATCTATTTGCATAGTATATAAATTATTTTACAGAAGAAAAACTGTCATTCTTCTGCTCCTCCCATACAAGTTAGTCTGATCCATCACAGACCACGGCTGTATTGGAGATTTTGATTTGTGTCCATGGAAGTAATTCTGGTATCAGAAAACCTGGAGTGTGATGCCACAGAACCGGCTTGATGGTGGCAAATTAGAACACACTGGTTTTGCAAACCATCTTTAGAAATGTCACCATTAGAATAAAAACATAAGAAAAAAAGCATGATTTAAAGACATTCTTAGTCTGTCACCACTGTTCTCTGAAGTTTCCAGTAACATGCAGGTCCTCCAACACTCAGAAGCAAGAAAGGGACCAGACAGAAAGGGTCAGAGACAAAGGGCCACCAGCTTAAATAAATGCTGCAGCCATATCCTGTTTGATCCTGATGGTTTCTCATTTTCCTGACAAGCCAGTAACAGACTGGTCCTCCTCTGCAGACTGACAGAACTCTGTAACTCTGTATTTAACAAGGGATAAATAGCTTGTGCAATCACTAAGAGGTTAAGGACCCGAGACAGTTGCTTCCAACATTACTGCTCTGGATACAATGACTTAATTGATTCTGCAATGCTGCTGACTATCAAACACTAAATACATGCAGATGACACTAAAACCGTAACATTAGAGGTAAGGTTTTTATTTAGCTTTATATACCTTTCGTGCAAAGGCACCAGAGAACTCAGCCTTCATGTGAACACACACAGATTCCAGAACACACTAACAAAATCACCCTTTCTGCAAAGCCAGAAATACCCAGAATTTTTACCAGTGTGAAAAGGCAAACTGCAGAGTGGGGAGGGGAATGACTGCTGCATGCACGGACAGAATCACAGACATGGGCAACTTCAGTGTGCATTCCTGCAGCTGCTGAATCTGGCTGCCATTGTGACTAACAGGCCAGCATCTGATTATCTTCTGAAAGGTCAGACTATTAATTATCATCTAGGCTTTAAAGATATTAAATAGCCAAGCACAAAATTCACAACGGTTGTAACACATTTGCTCTTTTTCTCCCCAACACAAAATAAAATGCAGAAATCTTGCATTATTTGCTTTTAATCAAATAAAGATCATTTGAAATAATAAAGATTTCTAAAATCAATGTAGAAATAAATGTACATGATCACATATCATACTGAAGTTTTTTCTTAAAGCAGCAACTCCAGTTGCTTTTGCAGCTTAAAATTTAATTGAAATATTGCTTTGCAGCATTTCATTCAGGGCATGGCTAGACTGTTAGCACCCTGAACACCGATGCTGACTTTGTCATTTTTAATCCCTGTAAAACACTTGTAAAATTTAAATTTTCCAATATTCTGAAAATTCTATGTCATAATTTTAAATAAAAAAATCAAACATTATTTTTAAAATTCATTTATAATGGGCAAAATTAACTTGAGGCAACATTCCTCCCAAGCTAGTAATTACTGCGACTCTTAAGGAGCAACCCCATATAGAAGCCCTTTTAATTCAGCCACTTAAGTTTATTAATTTGCAGTGCTACAGGGTCTTCTTTAGTTTTAATTATACATTAGATAGCCTTGCTTAAGAAAACAAACAAACAAAACAACAAAAAAAGAAATCTATTCTTTCGTAGTATTTTTCATTTAAAACTCTATGTAGGCTACATGTCCTAGGAGCTCACACACTTATATAGATATACACATGTACACCAATCCACATTCATACAGAAAATACACTTCAAAGGACATCCTTTTCCTGAGCCACCAATCTTTCTCTTTTCACAGAGATGATCACATCACTGAATAAATTATGTGATCGAAAGGCTCAGTAATCCCACTGCCATTAAAGCACCAGTGGTACAATATCAGGTGTCTGAACAATAATTTTGTGTCTTATTTACCTGGACCTCACTTGTCCTCTGCTTGATGGTGTCTTCTTTCTCCTTCAGGTCTTGCTCTACATTATTCTTTTCCCTAGAAGACCAGCAAACAATGCAAGAATACTTAAGAACGTCAGCTACAGCAGGTACAGTTATCCAGCCCCCTAAGCCTGTATCTCTCTTTAAATACATAGTGAAACATTAAACACAAAAGTTGTAATGGATTTCTGCTTTTCAAATTATTTACAAGACAGAAGCCCACAGAAGTGTTCTGCATAAAAACCCCCTGTCTTTTCACCCAACTGCACTTCAGTGATAAGAATGGCTCAAAAATGGAAGGGGGCGGGAGGGAGAAATCAATGAAATACTGTCTCCAGTGATCTCACTGTTGCTATGGAGCACTAGTCTAATGAAAACTGCTGGGAAAAGTGGGAGGGATTGCATCAGATTCCATCTATTAACCCCTGCAAACACAGTAATCCCTATGCTAACAGCAGCTAGAAAACATTTCCAGCAGGCCAATCTAGCTGATTCACGAATTTTGCCCATCAGATTTTTGCTATATCTGTTGGTAAGCTCCGTCAGAAGAAGAAAGGTTGGCTTGCTGTAATCACTATGTGCTCAGAGACTCCATAGGTAGTTATTTGCTGTGTCACATCAAGTCTGTCTACAGACATTTATTCAAGTTTAAAAGTGACTGCTGATGACAGGGGAATTACCATCAATAAATTCTTGGCAGTCAGACATAACAATAGCTTTAAGAAAGGGAAAAAACAACATACAACTCTGAAGTGTTACTGTTTTAAAAAAATAATGTTTATCTCTAGACAGAATATGAAATCTCTTCTCCTTTCACAGATGCAGAAAAGCATTAAGCTTTAGTTTTAACTCTATCTTCTGTATACAGATATTTACTTCCATAAAGATTTCAAATCAGCACACACACATTAAAAGTTAGATTTTGAACAATAAATGTAATATTTCTAAATGAAATACCATAGAGAAAAACTATCAAATTATATTACTAATACATATTGAAATTAAGGTAACTTCATATTCTAATAGCAGCAGATTGTTAATCAATCTAAAACTATTAATCTTATTGTTTACTCTTAGTCTAATACAGAAGGAAGCATTTCTGTCTCCAAAGTAAAGCAGGTCTACTCAGTTCTCTTTACTCAAGCTGAGGAATTCTTGTTTATTGCTAAACCATGACAATGGAAAATAAAAAAAAATCCAGATGTTAGATCTTAAAGGAATGTTTGCTCTGAAAAATAATTACCATAGATTATGTTCTGCTATTATTTATCTCAGTATCTGATTACAGAGCAATTTGCTGATTGTCCCCCAAGGGAAGGTTTACATGGAAGGAAAAGGAAAGATGTGGAAAGAAGGACTCTGAAGAACAAGGCTAGTTATTTATTGAAGTGTGAACCTTCAAGTTTCATAAAATTCCTCACTCTCCATTCATCAGAAAAAAGCGTCATGGAAATTGTAAGCAAGTCTTTACCATTTCCATCAAAGCCATAGCACACTCCTCTAGCTCAATAAACTAGTATTTGTAGCACAGTTGTACTGAGGTATTTAAAGCACTGCAACACAGAGCTGAAAAAAGTTTTGTTGGTTTTGCCTTCTGTAACTTCCCATGAACAAAGGCTCTACAATCTTAGTAAAACACTTCCATGGATCTAAACACAAGCCAGGCTGAAAAATACCTTTCAAGCCCTCAGACATGCATCAAGTACAGCTAATAGGCATATTATTCCTGATTGAAGATAAAAGAGAATAATTGACTAGGTAAACAAACACTTGTTATTTTTCCTGCTCAGGTATGAAAACTGAGCAGGAAATAGAAATGCAAGCAGCTGTGTATGCTTTAATATACAGCCTCTCCACATTACTGTCACAGATACATCTCAGAGACTGTCAGAGATGAAGATCACTCTTACTTCAACAGAAGTCAGGCACCTAAACCTTGCAATCTGGACCAGCACAGCAAGCAACAGGATACAATACCCACTCGCAGGCAGTTTACACTGGCTAAATCACAACACAAACAATGAATTGGAAACAATCAAGTGAAAGAAGTATTGTCAGGCAGAACAAAAAAGCTTAGGCAGTCTCAGGCAAAGCAAAACAAGCCGAGTGTATAGAGTCTACACATAACACATCCCTTCCTCCTCCCCAGTAATGTGTCTTTGTTTCAAAAAAGAATAAAAAAAGAAAAAGAAAAAAAAAAAGAGACAACACAGACCTACTTAATTCACTAATTCTTCTGAATGCCTCCATTTCTTTTACAAACTATCTGGTATGCCCCTGTAGGAATGCTCAGCAACTGAAAGAACCAAAAACAAGTAACAGAATTGATTTATTGGATATGACAGATTTCCTGGATCACAAAGTGCCTTACCATATCAGCACTTGGGGTGGCAGAGGGAAGAATAACCCAAACCCAACTGTGGTCTTGCCAATCAAGTACACTTGCAACCAATTCAAGTCAATTTATGAAAGCAATACATTTTCCCTATATATTTTAATAGTCCTGTCAGGAGAACCTCATATCAAAGAAATTAAACACAATGACTAAAAACAATCCCAAAATTAATAAATGGTTTCTCCAATGCAGGTACTTCATTATTTACAATCAAATAATGCCAGTAAATTCCTAAGTTTTATACTAATTTGTGAATGGAGTAATTTTTAAATGGGAGCCAGCAGATTGCAAATATTTTTGATATCTGACAACTAAGGAGTCCCCATGTCAGCAGAGGCATTTTAGCCAAATATGAAACAACTCTGGCTGGGCTCCTTGATGGCCAACGCTTGGAACCACCTGAGTTACAAAAGCAAAAAATCACAGTTCTTTTCCATAAGTGACAGATGACCAGAGCTAGTAGCATCGTCTACACTCACAGTGGTCCAGCGTTTCTTATTTTCACATGCATTTGTAATTTTGGGAATTCCTAGTGTAGTAATACTTCAGTTCAGCAATGCTCGAAAAAACGTCCAGAGTTCACCTAGTTTCTTCTCCCCTTTGTTCCCCCCAACCTTTTCAGCTGCAACAGCTCAACTAGTTCCAAACCAGTGATTAGAAGAAATAATCTAGCCTTCGTGAAAATTCTTACCATTGCTTTGCTAAGAAGCTGTAGATCTCCGAACTTTGAAACAAAAGCTTGATGCAAGTGTCTGGCATGGAGAGGTTGCCCTGTTTTTCTGGGGACATTTCGCTGTTTCCTTACTTTTGAGAGACAATTTACCAGTTCTATGGTCCTTTTAACCTGATTTATACTCAAGACAATATAACTGTTGCTGTCCCACGTGTACACACTTACACAGAGTAAGATTTACTCTAAGCTAAACTCTACTACTTAACATGCCTAGAGAGGAATGTTGTATTAGTAAAGCTTGAAGAAATTCACAGAATCACGTAGAATGGTTTGGGTTAAAAGGGACCTGTAAAGATCATCTGGTCCACCTACCCTTTCCCAAGGCATGGACATCTTTCATAATTCCACTAACGTGTGGGCTGTCACTAGCTCTGAATGCACAAAAGCAAGGCAGGGTTTTCTGGGGAAGAAAAAGGTTTCACGGCTCAAAAAAGACTATTAAGAACATCTGGTCTAACCTCCCACCATACTGATCAAAAAAGCTTCAAATAGCTTTCTAAAAATATAGTGCAACTGAAACAGAACTTACAGGCAGCAGTGCTGACAGGCTCAAAGTGATGCGGGCTCCACAACGTCCCCAGACAAATCATTCCCCTCACCAGAGGGGTTCTGCATTTTATTCTTCATCTGATCTTCAACCTCCACCTTCCTGACATTGTTTTTATTGAATTAGATTAAAAAGCTATTGGCTACCAGAAATCTTTCCCACACAAACTGTTGAGCCACAAACACATCACCTCTGTATTTGTTGCTCAGTGTCTCAAAAAAGCTGTGTTTTCCAGACATTGTCATTCTTTTCAGGCATTTCCTCTGCTGCCTTTTTTTTTTTTTAAATGCAGTTCAAAAATAGATTCAATTTCTATTACTAGGTCTCAGAAATGCAGCTCTCATGGATACTTCTCAATGGAATCATGGACTAGAATTATTACATATAGAGTTCAACAGCTGAACGCTGTATCTTGTTTAATAATGAACAAAAATAAGTTAAGTTTAAATTACATTTTTATATGATAACTATCAAGATTGAAAGTGTACTTCATCAGTTATAAAAGAAATGTGGATTTGCCAAAGATGAAAAAAAAAGTTTCCTACATTTTCCATAAAGATTAATCTGTTGCCCAGCATTGCTACCTGTGCTTAGGGAAGGTACAGAAAAGTAACATTTACTCTGCTACCAAAATAACTCTTCTACAGTGGCTAAAGGATTTCCAAGTAATCAAAAAATTAATTTTCTTGAAATTAAAAAAAAAAAAATTACTTGAGCCACAATTCACTGTAGAACATTGAGAGTTTCCTAGTCATTCTCAGTGCAACCACATAAACCTCTTATTACTGTACTTCAGTCTGACAATATAGGCTTAAGCCTCTGATTGTTAATCCAGTTCTGTTCTGAACCTCTAAATCATAATTCCCCCTTTCTAAAAATAAATACATACTAATAGTTGACCCTACTGTACCTTCAGCAATCTAGTATCATTCAAATATGTCTTAAATAATTGTCCAACTAAATTTGCCACTGAAGAAACAGAAGCAATGACTTTCCAAAGGCCATAGTTCCTTCATTCCTCACAGCAGGAAAAGAAAACAAGTTATAAGCAGACCTACTTGCATGTTAGGTTGCAAGTCCACCTACGTAAACTCAACTTCATCTAAAAATTCATGTTAGTGAACAATTTATCTCCCTCCAAGATATTAACAGCAAATATACAGTCATAAATCATATTTCAGGTTAATAAATGGGAGAGTCCAAAATTGGAATTCATACAAAGAACTAAAGAACAACAGAGGAAGGCAGATGAGAGAGAAGTCAGGAGGCAGTGGGAGTAATAAAAGGGAGAATATGCAGCTGAAGCGAAAAACATTTATGTATTTAGGAAACAGACTGTGCTTTGACACATTGCCAAATTAAATCATTCCTGCAATCAACATGAGTTAGACAGGCAGATTGCACCATGACAAAGTACTCTCACTTATAAAATAGTAGAATTAACTGTTCTTAATATAACTTTCAGTAGATTTATGATAGTGCCAAAAAAAAAAAAAAATCACTGAAAAAAAAGTATCTGCTGTTCTGAGAATATGACAAAGACTATACAACATATATGAACTTGGTTTTCTTAGTCGCTTTAAGTCATGTTCTTAGTTACCTTAGAAATAATTAATGGAATTCAAGGGTCTGCAGACCTGAACTGTAAACAGTTTTTCTCAGTGCAACAGTTTATTTTGCTCAACAGAAGAAAAGCATGTCCATCTTTACCACCATCAAAACCCTAGAAGAGGTCCATATAGAAACTGTGATCTTCCCACTCTCTACCCAATATACTTCTTGACCTTTCCCAATCTTACTTCCTTACTACCACTAGAAAAAAGTCCTTAAAGTTCCCTCTACATATCAAAGACAACTAATACCAATTTATATCATGGTTTCAGCATCCTAAAGATCTGTTCCATTCTCATCTGCCAATAAAGACGAACAAGAGAGAATATTTCCATCTCAGGATGCTAACATATGCAGCTCTCTGAAACATACCCAGAAGGCATGACAGACAGATCTTTCCCAGTCTGGCTGTTATTAAATGCACTCATCTGAGTGAATAAAGAGTAGAAGTGTTAAATGGTATTACAGACATACCAATAATTTATTTTAGCAAAGCAGACTATTACCAGCTGGTTTGCTCTTATGCATTCAATCGTTGTTTTTTAAAGAATAGTAAATAGCACAACTGAATCTAATGTAACTATGACTGTTCCTCTGTTACCTACCTCTGCAGGTCTACTATTTCATTGTTTAACGTATCAAGTTCTTTAATTGCAGAAAAATCTGCTACAGAATTCGGTCCTTGAGTACTCTGAAAGATAAAATATAAATACTGTTAGTTTACAGTTTATGCTGTCCAACAACTATATTCACTTTTTGTGACAGCATGAGCCGTCCTCCTATAACAACTGTTGGTAGCATTGCATTTCAAATCTTTGATCTCAAAAAAACCAAAGCAGTCCAGATGCTATATTAACAGAATACAACATACATCCAATGCATCTAGTAATTCAAACAGAGTTCATCTCCTGTAAACTCTTGAAGACATATTCGACAAAAGCACAGGATATCCTGATCATCCAAAAAAACAAAATCTAGTTCTGAGATTTATCTTACAGTTAACGTTTAGCTGGCTTCCTAGCATTCACTTAAGACTGGTTTACTTTGTTTACTGCTTTTATATTTACATTTCTTCACCTTGGTGATCCTCCTGTTGCAGAGTACAGACCTTTGCAATGCTTTAAGTGATATCGAGCTAGCTTAACGTGAACCTCCAGAGTACTGAATTAAACTTTGATAATAAAGTCATAGGTAATTTACACCCATAAGTTCCCATTCACTTCGTCTTTATAATAAGACGACAACTGTAATACAATTTGTTTCAAAAAACCCATAAATGACTAGAGAACAAATGCTGAAGACACAAATTAGCAAATACTGTAATTGTTCTACTGTGCCTTATGACAACATGAACATGCTTAGGAAGCCGTAGTCACTGTAACTATCTTCTATAAATACATCAATTTCTTCAAGCCTCAAATAATGTCATCCAGGACAAATATAAAGTTCAGAGGAAAAGTAGTACATATAATTAAAAAAGGCAAATCATTCCTCCCAAATAACACAGAAGTCTTTAAATGCTGAAGTTTCTCTAAAGATACATCAAGATGCTATTAACTACATGTTTATTCAAGCTTATACTCTGGGGGGAAAACAAACAAACAAACCAACCCAAAAACAAAACAACCCAAGAGCCATGAAAAGATCTCAACAGTAAATCTGAGCACACTGACAGAGAATGTTATTCAGCAGAACTATAAGTTATTCATGCATATTTTATTAGAGCAAATGGCATGGACTGAGAATTAAAAAACCCAAACATACAGCTATTCTTAAACTGGTTAGTGTACAGCTCCTCGAATTGGCTAAATAGCTATGAAGTTCAATCCTGTTCTAAAGGAATTACACAGGATTTTTCCTGAGTTGCTCATGGTGTTCCAACAAGGAAGTTTTTACTTCTCCTAGGACAGGGACAGAAGGAAAACATGGAGCTATTAGCTACAAGTACAAACTCTTTCCAGGTCTCCTTCTCCCATCATTTAAAGAAATTCTACACACTAAACACCAGCAGCAAACTTGGAATAAAGTGTAGTTCAATCTTATTTTCAATTGTTCAGGAGAACTGGTGCAAGAGAGGAACATAAAAGCCAACATTTTTAGCTTCAATACACAGTTAAAAAAGACAAAAGTTAGAACTATTTGCTTCCATTTACTCCACTGCAACATGCATGCAAACAATGCTTGGAGTTTTTAACTCAAAGTAGGAATAAAAGTAAATTTCTGTCAAAATTCTTTAAGAGGAGCTTGCATGCAAGTATACACTTTATGGCTGGCAATGCAAGTGCAATTTGGTGACTAGAAACAGTTCTAGGTAAAGCAACACAGCAACAAGCACTGCTGCTGAGACTGCTGCTGTGTCCCATTCACGGGATCTGCACTCAGGCCTCGAAACCGAAATAAAAGTTACACTACTGTGGTGATAAAATTCTGTAAGGAAACCAAACGTTAGAAAACAGCAATATACATTCATATGCATTCTGAACATCCACCAAGAAGGATCACAAGTTAACTTTCCCTTCTTTTTTTATAATGGATTACCATTATACTTACTGACATTTCTGCTACTACCTGTATATTAGTCAATGAAGTCTAAGATTTGGAGATTTTTGTTTAGGTTTTTCAGTTTTGTGTTCGTTTTTTTTTAATAATGTAAGCCACGTCACTTCAAGAAAAGCAGCAAAAAGCCTATTTCTGCCTACTGCTCTTATCCTTTGGGTTCAAGCCTTGAGCAACAGTCTTGGACAAACATGTTATTTCGTATCAACAAGACATCTGTTTTGAAAAAGCTCAAAATGAGCTAAAGGTTCAGCTCAGTCTAATAAAACAAATTCTTGGTAAGGATTTACAGAGCTAACTAAAAACTCTTACCTTCTTTCATTCACAGTATTCTTACTCTTGTTTATGTTAGTAAAGCAAAAAAAAAAAACAACAAAAAAACCACACTGATGTCTGAGAGTTCTATAGAAACAGTTTAAACACACAGAACAGCAGTAACCAACACTGATCTCATCTAATGTGTTCTCATCACTATATTTCTGCAATATAATCAGTAAAACCATTGGTAATAGTCCTAATGATAACTCAACTATCATACTGGGTTACTACTCTGTCACCACTTCCCCAGCAATTTCAACAGGATATGACACAGCATTTTCTTTTAAGTTTAAGCAGCACATACTGCCAACAAGTAACAGCCACAGAGGTCTCAGTTCAAGGAAGAACCTTGGGGTTCCTCCAGGTGAACAATGGAAATCAGCAATAATTTGAGATCGTGACATACTGTGACACTTCAGAGAAGTGCTGTGCTGTTTCAATGATTATGTAAGAGTCTTGGATGTTCATTATTAAACCAACAGACAGTAAATATTAGAAAAGCAAAGATTCTCTAACCTTGAGAAAGCAGAGTTAACAAACTGACAGAATAATAAGGATGAAAAGCAGAGTGGTGCAGAATGGAAAAAACAGTCCAAACTAGAAAAGAGACATAGAAAGGAAAGCAAACATACAAAAAAGATTAGTAGAGTTGCAAATAAAGCAATTACTTTTTAAAAACAGAATGTAAAAAGAAATTAGATATCAGTTACAGAAACTCAAAAGTGCCAAATTTTGAGTTTCATTTTTTCAGCTGTGAATTTTTCATTCTGTTTAAGAAAACTGTAGAATTAGATCAATGTTTTGCACAACCAAGAAAAGGTAACCCACATCAGACTTCGTGATGCATAAAACAACTAAGAATTTGTGATGACATCTACCATTCTGATAGATACAACTTGAACTGCTGAGGTATAAGCCTACTGCTGGACTAAGACAGATGACGATCAATGGCCTATGAAGACATTTAAACTATCTGTGAAGTATAAAATGGAGGACCATTTACTTCTAAAATTTAAGTATAAAATTTTAAACTTTATTTAGTCCACATTGTTTCCAGACTTCTTCAAAAAGAAATGTAAAAAAAGGTAATTGTGAACACATTAGGAGAAAAACATTGAATTTGCATGTTCTTTCAAATGCAAACTAAAATTTCTTTAGACAGGTAGTAGAAAGACTACTCTTTCAAAATAGAAAATAATGCTTTCTCAACATAAGATCTCTCTGCTTGGTTGGCAGGCATAATAAATGACAGCTTCATTTTGAAACATGAATGGAACAGTGTTTTGTCAATTCTTTGCACTTAAGATTTGTTTTCTTCCCAATAGTATGATAAATTTAAGGTATGCCAGTACTTGAGGTGTTTCTTGCATAGCCTTTGAAACTAACATTCTTTGTTTGAATGTCAAAAATGCCAAACTCCTCCTTACCTTCTGTAAGCCAACACCCCTGTCTGAAGGTGGAATCATCTCTGGAGTCAGAGCCTGAGGTGGATCAATGCCCTTTGTTAACTTCTGATTAATTAAATAGAAAGCCAAAGCAAATTGTTCCTTTGAAAGCTTTCCGCAGTCCTTTGTGTCACAAAGAGCCCTGTTCAGAGATTTACATGAAATAAATCAAATCCTAGTTTCTGTAAGTATAGCCTTTTTTAAATGACAGCAAATACAATTCCGCAGTCCTTTGTGTCACAAAGAGCCCTGTACAGAGATTTACATGAAATAAATCAAATCCTCATTTCTGTAAGCACAGCTTTGTTTATTGTATTTGCTGTCATTTAAAAATGTGAAAATTGCTAGTATATATCTCCTCTTCTAAAAAACCATAACGTAGAAGTAAAGCATGGTAAGAAATAGGAAACATTAGTCAGACATATACAACCAACTTTCTCTTTGCATGAAGTCCACAGCTTTGTTATACTAATTCCTGATGTGGTGAAAGGCACAGTCAGGGCTATGAGTCACTAACACCACCTAGGTATCTGTAACCAAAGTTTCTTCTAAATTAAAGAAATTTTCACAGCCAACAGAAGTCTATCTAATTTTCCTAAATCTCCTAAATTAGAGGTTATGTTAACAATACCACAAAAAAAAAAAAATTCCTATCAGAGTGCCCTGGAATAGCTTACAGTGGGGAAACAATTAAAAAAGCAGTGGGTGTCACTACTAGCTGTAATGAAAGACAAATAAATTGCACAATTAAATGGGCTATAAGTTTCACATTCTAAGAATTTTACACAGAGAATTCTCATTACCAGTGTAGGGATACTATCTGTGTTTAGATACACAGCAACACGATGATGTTTTAAATACAGGGGTTTAGCTGAAGTTCAGTATTTGTCTGTAATGATCTGTGTTCAGGTGCTTTCACCCTTCCTCTCCTATGAGATGATACAAAGCATAAACCTGTTTTCCCCTCATTTCTGTCCAAAAGTAGAAGCAAGTAAGTTACCACTGCTTATACAGAGGCCATGCTATTATATACCAAAATCAACTTTCACTTTCCAGAAATGTCAACATAGCACTTTTCATGAGAAGTGCTAGGAAGGAGTGAGAACCATGCAGTCATCTAAACAGTTTTCATGGAAAAAAAAAATCCCTACCAGATATGTGCAAGAAGAGCAGAAGGCAGTCCCGTCTTCAAGAATAGTTCTCTGGCTTCCACACCTGACACAAACCCATCCATGTCCTTGTCAGTTTTCACAAAGATCTCATCATACTTAATTTTGTCTGCAGGCGATACAACCCACTGATAGGGGGTGGGGACAGAAGGGGAAAAGAAAACACAACAAAAACAAAAACCACAATACTAAGACACAGGCTGTTCTGTTTTCAGATAGTTACTTTCAGAGTTACATAATTCAACAACTACAGCACAAATTTTAAAAGTTATATAGGTGCCTAGTTCAGGAACCAATTTTATCCTCCAAAATAGAGATGCACAGAGATCCACAAGCAGCTCCAAAAGTAGAAGCAAAGTATTTATATCAGTGAAGCACCAAGGCTGGCTGACACTGCTGTGCATCTCTGTCTACATATTAAAAGTATTCCCTGGAGCGCAGATCTCCTCCCGGCATGGGGCTGTGCCCTCATCACTGTGGTCAGTCACTGTCCTTCTTACTGTCTGGCTCCATCAATTTTATTCCTCCTTACCCAGCTGGAGAGCTTTAGCTGGAGGGACTGAAAAACTGATCAAGCCCAGACTGTTAACAGTTGACACATTCTAAATTGTAGAATTTACCTCTGATCAAGGTAAAACAGGGAATTAGAGACACGTCTCTTGATTCAACAGTTTTTCCAAACACTAAGCTACTCTAGAGATTTTTTTTTTTGAAGTGAAAATGCCTTCAGGTGCATGCTTGTGGATTCTAATTAATTTCAGCGTACAAGGACACTTAGATGAATCCCAAAAGGTGCTGTACACAAAACATACACTAAAGCACTCATTCAGAATGCCCTTGTTTTGTAATACACACAGCAAGACTCACCAAGTAAACTGCCAGATGAAAATCCTGGCGCCTCCAGAATTAAAATATCAGTTTCTTACCGATAACGCAAATATAGGTACCCAAATGTCCAAGCAGTATCTTATGCATTAGGTACTACAGTTCTTACCTTAGATCCCCTTCTCAATTTTTTCTTATTTGAATAGAATAAGTAAATTATAATCTACTTGGAAAGACTTTTTCCCAAATTCTGCATTCTGAATTTTCTGAATTTGCATGCGGAATTTTCCCAAATTCTGCATTCTGACCAGGATTAAATAAGATGCTTGTAGGGGGTGAAAAGTATTAAGTTTCTTAATAATCACATTTGAAACACCAAATCTCATGTGTTTAGTTGGATGTGCCAGACTTTTTGTCTCCTTTTCCCATTGCTTGCATTTATCTATTCTATCTTCATTAATATCTTCTTCAAGTTGCAGGCGTGTGTGCGCATACAACTGCAGACACATGCCTGCCACAATCTGTTTTATGAACTTGTCCACATTCAAAGCAGTCTTCAGCCAGAAGATTTACATTCTGAAGATATGTACCTGGACTACATTTTTAAACTGTTTTCTTAATATTCTGACCTTTGGGTAGAGCTTAATGCCTTGCAATAATTTATCTTCAAAAATATCTTCAAAATCTTTACTAAATAGTGTTGTTATCCAACTGTTTATATCTGAAAACATCTAGAAAATCAGAAGACAAATTTCGTATCTCTCCACCTGGTCTTCTCATTAGCCTCCTCAAATTCATCAACCAATCAACAGGACAAGAAGAAACTAAAAACCTGTGTCAAGACTCTTCATACAGGCAATCTCCAAAGCACAGCATTAAGAGCAGAAATCTTCTAACCCCAAGTAACTTCAGAACTATACCTGTGTTAATGGTGTTTTGGCAGCTAAAATGCCTACAGGTGGCAAGGACTGATGAGACTCTTTGGTAGATGATGAAGATGGAATTAATGGCATTGCTCCTGGAACACTAATAGGTTTTCTCTTGGATGGTGGCACCAAAGCTGCAGGCAAGGACATTGGCACTGGTTCTTTCTCCAAAGCACAATACACCAAAAACATGGCCTGAACAAGAAAACAAGGTGTGTGAATGTAAACATGTAAGAAATAAGTATATATACAGAAATTAAAGAATTAGTTAAGAAATAACTTTGTAGCATTTTTTCATGTTTCTCCTTTACAAATCCCCTCAACTGAATAGCAGCTTATTGCCTTCTGACCTGTGTTTATCATTACTACTTTCTTTTGAGGTTCAGTGCTTAGCAAATGAAGTTCAGTATCTTTTAGAACATTAAAATGATTCTCCTAAGTATTACCAAGCTTGTACCACCACTTGTGGAATTTTATATGAGAGAATACTTTAAACACTTAATGTATTCACTGTTTTTCCAGGAGTTGCTCCACTTAGTGACTATTCTTTCTTTTGTTGGGGTGGTACATTTTAATCATTTTTTGACTGTTGTTCAAGATACAAAACTGCATCTTAAATAAATGTTATACTTCACAGATTTTCAATTTAAGTCTAACATTTGCCTAGGGCATATCAGTCTTCTGATCTCAAAGCTAGAAGTCTGAAGAATTACAGCATAAACACAGGAAATCAAGTATAACAACAGTTAACTATCAGGGTCTTAAAGGAACTGGTTTCAGAAGAAACTAAAGCACATAGGTGCCTGAAGATGACGAGAACAATATTCAAGAATGCAATTTTTACACTTGTATGCTTTCTCAAAAACATATGTGACAGCAGAAAAAGGTAAATTCATCATATTTACATTAAAAAACACAAAGCAAGTTTTAACATTGTCCATAATGTCAATTCTTGGCAATTAAACAGGTATTCTTAACTTTCTTTTTATTTTATTTTTTAATTTTGACTCTGAAAGGATGAGCAATAGTTTAGTTTGTAGAAATTAAAATTAGAGGCTGGCTTTAGCCTCATCTGAGGACAGAAAGGTCACATTACTTTTTCAAGATTCTTGTAATGCAGAATGCAGTTAAGATATTTTGTCAGCTTTTCCAAACCTTGTTTGGAAGGTTTGATACTTCTCTGCATAAAATGAAACCCTCTCCTTCAAAGTGAATAATCCCTTCCCCTCCAACTTATTTACATGCAAAAACAATGTGAAAGTTTTGAGGAAAAGCTGATGCATGGTTGCTATCACATTCAGGACTTAGAGGGTCTTCAAAAGTAAGAGCCTCCCACTCCCTTCTCACTTGCCATCTCTTGCGGCCAGTGAAATTTACTTACCACTTCTTACATTATTTCATCAGTTCTGGCATTAATAGTGTTAAAATTCTAACTTGTGATGAACTTTTGAAGAATTTATAAATTTCCTTAAAATTTTCCTCAAAGGTATCTTGGGGCATTCAAGTACTAGAAACAGTGAGGATTAAGAGAAAACTTACTCAGTCAAAACACTCGGTCTCTCATGGGACAGCAGGTATAAGTTTTTAATGGCTCATTTAGCCGACGAAGAAAGTTATTACTGTGTAATGAGAGACATGCAATAAACTGACAGAAACATCAACTACTACTAAAACTTGATTAAGGTCTCTGAATAAAGGTAATAAATGAACCACACAGACAGTCAAAAATTAATACACAACACATCTATTTTGAACCTCTGCCATTAGGTTTCCAAACTCCCCAAGAGGCAGAAGATACTTACAACTGCAAACTCATCTCGATCCAACATTCCATCACGGTCAATATCACTCAATTCCCACACCTACCAAGAAAAAGCAGAATACAGAGATGTTTGCCTAATCTGCAGAAGTTTTCTATTTAAAACCTCATTAAAAACAGATGTGAGAAGAGCCTAACCTCCATCGTATCCTAAATTCTATCAAGATTAACAGCATCAGTTTTCAGCAAGCAACATCCATTCATACAAACCATCCAAAAGAAGAGAGATTGTTAAGCTGGAGACAGAGCACGCTAATGGCACTCTGCCCTAAATCATGTGTTAAAAAGTATGTGTTCCTGATCCACTGTGGTAAGAGGTGACATCAAAACACCAAAAGAAGTTGGTTGGGGGTTTTTTTGTTTGTTTTTTTAATAGTTACACACGTGTGGCTACCCCATAAGGTAGTACTTAATAGTTAGGCTTATTATTACAAATCTTCACTCTGAAAAACTGATATTGCTGAGTGTAGCACAGTTATTATTTGTGAATTAACAATTAAGTAGAAAGATATTCTTACTCGTCCTAAGATATCCACTGGCAGTTTTGAGTTAAGGAGTACAGGTTTCACCTTATCACCTGACAACAGTCCATTCACAGGATTCAGGCTGTCAAAAATAGCATCATACTTGGCCTTGTCTTCCAGCTGCAGGAGCACAAGAAGAATATTACCTATGGAAACAGTCACACTCATAGCCTAAGAAACAGTAGGTCTTACAAAAGTATTAACTTTTTTATTTAAGTTACAGTTGGAAACACACACATTGCCATTCCTGATGCTTAAAAGAAAACATGAAAAATATATTATTTCTAAGTTAACTAGAGACTCAGTCAGTACCCAGTGAGATTTATTCTTCAATTATTTTCATGGCTTCAGGTCACTATTTCCAATAAATCAAATTTCTAAACACAAAGAGATTTCCCAAGGGACAAGTGTTTTTATCAAATTAGGTCAATTACAGATTTGACATGAATAGTAATTTATCATCCTTTATAGCTACCAGTAGCATTATATTTTTCTCAGATTTACAATTTCTTGCAGACTACATCATAGTTATAGGTAATAGCCTGATCTTTAATTTACCTTAACAGCCCATGGTACATCACTTGATGCTGTTCCACTAAGCAGCAAAGGACTACTAGTATCAGTCTAAAGAAAAACAGGAAAAGAAAACACTTTAAAAGAGAGATGGTTCTGACCTTGCAAACCCACTCCCTTATTTGAGAAGGTGCTCCTCCTCAAAGCCAGAACTGCATTGTAGTCACTCCTATCTTAGTTAGGGATACCAAAACTTAAAGTAAGAATTTTAAAATGTTGCTTCCATTAAGGATAATAATAATAGAACCATCCATATTCAAATTATACACTATTTTATATTCAAATACCCATTAGAACATGTAGCACCTTACTCTTATTCCACACTGCCTTATTTTCCCCTATTGTAGGGCCCTATTTCTCTACAGCATCACTTTCAGAAGTGTTTGGTATTCATACCAAACCTTCCTAATTGTTCACAAAACAAAAGCAGTTAAAAGCAGTTCTTATTAATGAGTTGATATGTTCAATTAAAAAAAGAAATCTTACAAATCTTGGTGGAGGAACAGGCAAATTAAGACTACTCAAGGAAACATCCAATCCATTCTGTGCGCATGCTACAAGTCGTAAAGCCACAAAAAATTCCTACAGGAAAAATGAGATTTTAAAGGATTTATTATATTAAAATATTCAAATTTCAGGAGAATTTAGAGCTTTTCTAGTATTGCTATATATACAGAGTTGCAAATGGCTTCAAAGGGGGTCAAAGTGATAGAAAATAGCAGTCAGCAACTACTGATTTCCTCTAGTGAGGCAAGCTCCAGGTATTTAGTAGCTTCCTGGCTAGTGTAGTCAGTTCTCAGCACTCAGTCCTATGAGTGCTGGAAATTTAAAGTAGCAGTTACAGCTGTTTATCTTGGAGGAAGTGAATTCATCCCAAAGGTGGCAGCTGATGAAGGGGGAGGAAAGAAAAGTACAGCACGTGATAAAAATTAAACAAAAGAAGTTTGGGGGGAAAAAAAAAAAAGTTGTTTGGTAGATGCTACAAGCTCCCCCCTTTCCTACCATGGGATGAAGCAGCTGGCTCTGCATAGGCTGTTATTTAAGTAACTATACGTCAAACCAAACAGCAACACACATGAGAGTTTTTCAGTAGCACCAGTGATAGATAAGTCTGGTTGCCACATCGCTCATTGCTACAACTTTGGAAGAACAATTGCAAACAGAATGTACTAATGTCAAGTCCACTAAAATGAGACAAATAAGAATTTTGAAGATTTTATGGGAATTTTCATTTTTGCTTTAATTTTCCTCCAAGATTAACAGGAAATGTCACCTTTGTAGAAAATACAGTAAATTAACCCTTAAATTACTTCTCAGTATTTTGTATTGCACAGCTACATAGCAGCTCATTTTATGACCGGAAGAAAAATTGATGAGGTAACTGAAGACTGCTTAATTTATTGCAGCTTACACTAAAGTGGGAAGTACATCTCTAATTCCAATTAGAAAAAAAAAATGAAAAAAGCAGTTAGAAAACCTGCTTTCCTGAACCAGAAATCTTAATTTTTTATCTTATTTCAAAGTTTGCTAATGGTTAGAGTAACATCATATATCATATAAATAATCATACCTGTTTGTTCAGGATACCTTTGCCATCAGTATCAGCTAAGTCCCAAATCTAAAACATAAAAATAATAGACAGAGCGTTCCACAGCACTGAAAAGAAACTGGCAAGTTTTCATTCCACTTCATAATGCATTCCTGGATGAAAGTTCAGGTCTTAACTTTCATGATAGCACTTATTTGTGGTGAGAAATTTAAATACTGTTTAATTTCCACCACAAGCTACATACATAGTAGAATAAGCAAGGATGCTGAAGTTGGAAACTATCAGATAACACAACTGAAAACACATTAGAGAAGATCATGCATCCTGTAGTACCACTGAGTATTTTCATTTACACAGGATACTAACTGAAGCAAGAGACAGGATAACTAAATAAATGTCATTAAATACCTTTCCAAGGACCAAATCAGTCAATCCAGACTTTTTCAAGAAAACAGCTGCATCAGAAGCTAACACTCTTCCAGCATTAGCAGAGTCAACCTGGGGGGAGAAGAAAAAAAAAAAAGTCTCACATGATAAACTAGCTTTTGAAATGATGCAATCTCTTTATACAGGCTCCCAAAAAGCTAGCAAAGAAGAATGCTCAGGTTAACATAGTCACTTTGAGAACCACCTTCAGACTTAAAAAAAAAGAAAAACTCCCTTTCATCAAAAATCGTGTTACATTAGAATCAAGACATTGTGAACTAGCAGTTCCAAGCTTAATATTAATAGGCAGGCTTTGGAAGTTGGTATCTTAAGCTAACACTGCCAAATTTAAGATATACTATGCATATATATCTAAGCATCTTTCACGTTCTATTATGTTTTATAACGTTCCAGAAAAATACGCTGTTATCTGTCTGTACACAACTAAGACAGAGGGAGATAAGAATTTTGCCTAGATGACCTGATTTGGGGAAGAAGCAAGGAAGGTAACTCAGGTCTCCCAAGTCACAAGCTGGCACCCCAACACAAGCTTACTCTTATAGGTCATCAATGAAGATTTAGATTAATTCCACTTAAAAACTGAGGAAAAAACACTAATACATATGCAAACAATCAAATGTCCACTGCTGTTAGTTTCTAACCATTGACTGTGCCTGGATTTCACGGTCTTCAGTAGTAAGTTGAAAGTACAAAGGCCCAAGAATTTCTCAAGTTAGATAGGGCAGCTTGTTCATATTAGCCCATCGTTTAAACCCGTCTAATTAGCCCTTCATAATCACAGGATTTACGTCTTGATGCCTGCAAAAGGCATTTCATTTTTAAGGACAGAAAAGTCCCAGAGTTTGATTATATTTAATTGTCCAGCTCTGAATTAATTACCATTACTGTCTGAAAAAGAAGGCTCTGCTTGAAGATACCTTTACCACCCTGGAAGAGGGAAATGCTTACTCCCTAAAGTGAAATTATTTACACAATGAAAACGTTGGTGATAGTTTTGGCAGAATATCAACCAGTGGGCATTTCTTCCTGGATCAATAATGACATCATTAAACTAGATCATTATTCAAGTTCCTAAGTGAGAACAGTACCTCAGCTATACCTCCAAGTGGAAGAAGCAAGCAGTAAAACTTACATCAGCTACAAGGACAAGGGAAATAGAGGAAAAGCTGCAAGTGTTTGAGACCCTAAAGCAAAAGGGTGCCTGAAAAGAACACAGTATGGAGAAGGGCATCTTCAGTCAATTCAACTGTCAGGCTTACCACATCGTAGAGATAGCTGTACAGGTCCTACAAGATCTATAGATTAAATAATATATTACATTTTATAGATAAAAATTATACAATATTATCTTCAAAAGCAGAGTCTTCCCATCTGTGGTCAGCTGAGATGCCCTGAAACTCAGAAGAATTTGCAACACGATAAACATTTCAAAGGACAGGAAAGGGGCAACAGAGGTCACTCACTTTCCACACTTCCTGGAAAGAAAGAGACAGAGAACCAAAACTGAAATCGTACAGACGAGTGAGCACGCATGGAAAACTGAAGTACATGCACAGAAAGAATAACTTGATACTTGCACTAGATATTCCCAGTACCCTCTTTTGAAGATCAGTGCTTCTGAGTCCTTGCTGAACACCGAGTCATCACAGCACTCTTTGAAATAGCCTGAGAATACCTAGTGAAAACCAGTGCTTCATATAGAACAGAAAGTTTGTGAATATACAGCAAAACACCCGATGATGATGCACTGCATCATTTACAGTCTCATAGCTTTGTGTTTAAACAAAGATTATATTCAATATTTTGTTTGGAACCTAAGACCAACCTTCAAAGTTCACCGGTGCAGCACACACAAGGTGCTCCAGGCAAACAGCTCCCAAAGATGGGCTTAGAACTAGCTAGTGAAAGACTGTGGAGAATTTATCATTTGGAAAGCATGCTGCAGCAGATGAAGGTGGCCTGTGGACACTTCTGCTTCTAAAAGTGAACAAAAAACTCAAAGATTTATTTAACTTGAAAGCAAAAACATATTTTGTTTTCAACATAACTAATATGATTTTAATTAGGAGAGGTTGTTTCCTATAATTGAGGATTCCCTGGTCAGGGCAATAAAATTACAGTCACGACAGCCTTGTAGTTGGCCTGCTCCTCAGATTCTTAAAACATCTAATTCAGTCTCTATGGGACAGGCTGTTCATATTGTAGGCAAAAAGTTACCAAGACCCTGCATCAAACCCCCTTTTCAGTTAGTGGAGTCCATCTTGCACGTAAGCACAGTAATGCTGGCATCCACTCAGAAAACCTCCAGCCTCAGACTTTTCTACTCTTTTGGGAAAGTCACAAAGCAACACAGTATCAGCTGTGTTTATTTTTTATCATTTCCCCCCCTCCAACCCAGAGGAAGGTGACTTTAAGGGATTTAACCAGGATTCTTATTTAACCCAATATGGATATGGTTCCTTTTTGTGCAAATAATTACCTAAATTTTAGTAACTGTTTTTTTGTAAAGGGCTGATTTCAATTTCTTTACAAATTACTGAGTCTTGCATTCCGAGACTGGGGTACTTACTAAGCATCAAAATAAATACTTCAACTCAGGATTCACCAATAATTCATCATGATTAAGTAATTTCCTACTACTTTATCACACACATTTACATTTATCCTTTAACCTCACCTTGTTTAGAGAGTCAGTCTAGAAAAGGTTAAACAGAAAAACTTTTATTTGAAGTAAAAGTGTCCCTATTGAAAGGTTAAGACTTCAATTGCATTCTAAGTACAAAGCCCAGGATTTATACTCATTTCACAACACACGTTATGCAAGTTGAATTACTTAACGTCTGTGATAGAACTGGAAGTGTACTAAGCATCAGAGCTATTTCAGGTAATTAATTTAGTCTCAGTTTGCAATGCTCAGAAGTGCTTCTGGTATGGAAGAATAAAAACGTGCTCTACCAGCACCATAGGACAAAGTGGGAAAAAAAGCTGTATTTATTGGAATTAAGACACCTTATTTTTGCTGGGCCTAAATATAAAAGACAGGGATAAATAAAATTTATATTATTGGATTTTATTTTTACATTATAAAGTAAAAAAATGTTTATCTGTTGAATGAACCCGCAAGATCTATATGCGTTTTTTTGGCATTCAGTGGCTTTTCACCCAAATTTCACTCCTTACAGCATCCTGTAAGAACCCCTGAGGATATCCTAGAGAGATTCAAGTTCTACATAACACTAACTGCACTACAACACAAGAAATCAAATTTCAGTTGTAAAAAGGAACAAAGAACATATCCATACAGCATTTTGCAGGAATTTACTCCATCCAAAGAGGTAACAGTATGTTATAACTAACGTGATGTATGTCATACATACCTGGCAGTCCCCTGGCAAATTAAATAAGTTTTCTTACAATCAATATTAAATTTATACCAATACAGCTCAAGACCTAAGTGTTAGTTACTATAAAATTATATTTAAAAGCAGAATAATTTTCCTTGAACTTTTATTGTTTACACACTGTTGGCCATGATGAAGTCCATAGCAAAAAAATATTTTTCTTTTCAATACAAAAGGAAGTTTGTTCTCCCAACAAGCACATACATACCTGTCGATAGAATTTCTCATACACAGGATTTGCACTCGATAGCTGTAAAAGAGAGAGACGAGATAAAATTAACCCTAAAGATCCATACTTCAATTTCCCTCTCGCTGAATAAATAAATATATAAAAGACTTTCTACTGGTCTTCAAAGAAGCATTAAGCAATTATGTAATTCCATTTATTCTGTAGAATGACGAGGACTACGACAACTGTTCACGCTGTAACTTTTAGAAGACTAACTTCTTGTTTTGAACTCAGTGATACTAACAACTATCAGATTACTATCAGACATGTCACTGGCTTAGGCAGTATGACAGAAGAACTCTTAAGCAAGACCGTCTGTAGGCAGAAAAACAAACCTGAAGTGACACAGGCTAGGAAGTGCTATTTAATGAGTACAAAGCAATATAATTTTACTTCATTATCCACTGCTTTATTCTTTACAATTTAGTATCATACACAACTAGTCTGTAAAATTTTCAGATATCCACATTAACTCCTGGATTCTCAACTAAATGCACAGCAATGGTACCAAATTTAAAATAAAGTAATATTTTAACTTAGGTTTCTGTAACTTGAATCCTTTGCTAGAGATCACTTCTACTTTAATTCCACTGCCAGACATTCAGTGCTCATCTAGACTTAGGTGGACAAGGATGAAACAGCTTCTTTGGAAAAGGCCTTTTCTTTATGAACTTATTTTTGAACCATTCTTAGAAACTCTAAAAAAGCCCAAGGCCCAAAACCATGCAAAGCCTACTGTCCTGGCCTACACCAAACACTCTTGCCCAAGAGATTCCCAAGAAATGTATTGTTAGTGTCACCTCTCTTCCCCGATGTAAAAAGAGGCACAAAATCAGATACTATATTCATGAAGTGCACATTCCCCAATCTAAAGACTGTGTGCATGACCAGCTGTATTTATGCAGAGGGTAACCCTAGAATTACAGCAATGTGTTGCCCTCACAAACCCACCTGGAACAACCGAGCATAGTACAAGTTAAGTCAGTTACACAATATACACTAAAAAAAACCCCCAACAACAACAACAAAAAAAAACCAAAACCCAAACCACATAACTTTGAATATCATCCAAAAACAGAATTCTCCCCCCAAGAGGAATATGATCTTAAACCCCAGGATTTACAGACCTTTGTAAAAACTGAATCCAACAAGGTAGCTTCTTTAGCTTTAAAATGTAGAAATTTGCACTGAAATATGGAAACCAACAGTATTCTAGACCTTGTCAATCATATACATATAAATGTATATGTATTAATATACAGCTTAAATAAACCCACATACATTTTCCTACAGCAACAGCTAATACAGTTGCTCTTTTGACAAAGCACTCGGATGTTCACAGGTGCCAATCTGTGATTATCCAAGAATATTAAGAGAGGAAGTTTGGCAGAAGTTGGGGGTTTAGTGTGATCCTGTTCAACTACAGAAAGTACATAGTACCACCAGAACATCCCAAAAGATAGAGGACAGCTAGAAATAACTGGAGAACTTTCATTCAGACCTCGACATCTGCTTATTCAGCAAGTATATTGCCTCAGAGACACTCAGCTTCTTTTAAGAGCCACAGGGCTTTTCTGATTCTCTAGTTGTTGGGGTTTGTTTGGTTTGAGTTTTGTTTGGTGGGGGTTTTTTGTTTGTTTTGTTTTGTTTGTTGTGGGGTTTTGTTTGGGTTTTTTTTTGGGGGGTGGTGCTGGTGAGTTTTCATTTGTTTGTTGAGAAATGGGTGGGAAATACCTCTTGTATAGCCAGACATTAAAAATTACATAGGCTGGGAAACCAGCACAGGTATTTATTGTAATACCCCCATTTACATAGCTTAACCTTGCTCTGACTTTGCTCTGGTACCCAAAGACTTTTATTATTTCAGCCATCAACTAAGCAGGCATTTACACATCCCTTAAAATTGCCTGAGGAAATATATTCAGGTTTTGCCAGACCTCTGACTGCTGTAACACCAATACACCACACAACACTTCCAATCACTTCCCAGCACGCTCCAAAGCATACTCTAATTTCTTAACTAAACCTCAAGTTCTGTACTCACCAACTCAGCTATGCTTTGAACAGCAATCTAAATGGGTAGCTCTCCTAAACATTTACCTATTTTATTTACTAAGTGTCACTTCATTACAATGTAAAAGCACAGGCATAGAATAACATTACAGCTATGAGCAGAAAACTACACCAGAGTTGGCCAGCGCTACGCTGGATCTCACACATCATCCCTCTTGCCCAATATCACCCTTTGTTCAGCCAAATGTTTCATTATTACAGCCAAATTGATCATTGTCACTCCTGGACAGGAAACATCGTGTTGAAGCCCTGCAATGAAAACACTAAGTGCAAAACAATCTTTTCATTCAGTACTTGGAGTACAAGCCAGTAATTCTTATTTCTTTCATTAGTGTTTCCAATATTCATTTTAACATCAGTATCACTGCAGTAACTGGAATTTCCTGTGACGCCAAGTGGAATAATAGTAGTAAAAAAATTTCCCAGGCTGTTTTACTAGTAACAAACTTGTTTTTCCTTCAAAGTATATCCCACAATAACACAACAAATATCCCAGAATATTCTGGGATAAGAAAAATACTGCTCAACATCTTTCAAAGTGCTGCTGTAGAATTTACCTGGCAAAATTCTTAAGGGATTTGTAACAACCAACTGCAGAGAGTAAATTCAACTTGTTTTCAATGAAAAAAGGAAGGAGGGATAAAAGGTCAGATTCCACAGCATACAAAAATAGAAATACATTATTATGATTCCATTTAAAAGTTCATAACTTCGTAAGAGTAATGTCTATTCTAGTAATTACAACCTTTGTTACAAACCTATGAACTTTAGAACACTAACCTAGGAAGTAAACACCACCTTCAGGGACACCCGTCTGTTTCATCTTCTGTTGTCAATCAAGCCTTTATATCCCCATGTTTTCACCCCTCTGGCACACTCACTCGCATTTTGGTGTAATAAGATACTACTACCCGTCTGTCCACCCCATCCATCCACAACCTTCCTTGACACAGAAAGGTTTAAAAATAAACAAAAAAAAAAAAGCTGCCAGTTGAGAAAAACAAAAATAACTTTCCCCTCCAACCCAATGAGATACAAGGGGAGAAACAAGCTATTCTGTCTGGTTTAAAATCCAAAATACCGTATTCTCTCATGATGCAAAGCTCTAGGATTCATTTTAAGAGTTTCCAGGCCAAACAACACAATTTGGTTGTAAATGTTCTTCACGCAGTCAGCCAACCAAAAGGCAGGTAAGTTTAAGGCAAGCTGGTTTTCTTAAAATGCCCTTTCCAAACAATAATCAACTTGTCTCTTTTTCCCCTATTGCTTTATTGCCTTATCTGAAGTGTTTCATGGTAAAGCTTTCTACCACGTTCCATTATACAACCAAGCACATCTCCTACAGCAATAACAAAAGTAAAGATAAGAAAATATTTACTATAAATGTATAGATGAATATTACCAAATACTTCAAAATTCATCACTTTCATTCCCATTGAGCAGCTGAAGCATGCACAAAAACTCTGCTGTCTTCTCTCTGCATACATGTCTGTCACTGCATAATTAAGAATGGATCGATTTAATTTTCAAATCGCTACAAGAAACCTCCACCATCTTCTAATCAGTACTGAACAAAGCCTGTGTAACATGGAAGAGAAGCTCCACTGCCTTTTTAGATGCAGCTACTCTCTAACACGATTGATATAGTATCAATTAAAAAAAAAAAAGTTATATCTGCTTTAAGAGCAGTCAGCCTCCTCTATACACAAGTTTAAAGACACACACACACATACTTGGATTTCCTCATCTTTCACGGAGGACAGAAAGAGGAACAACAGATCTCTCACTCCAGTAAAAAGAACAAAATTACATCTTAATTTTAGCATTTTGTTGATCCCTTAAAAAAAAAAAAAAAAATCAGAAGTTTGCCAGAGACCCCAAAAGCTTTGACTCTATATTATATATAACATATATATATTACTAAGAGAGTGTTATTCATACTGTAAGTATTTACATCCTACATATTAGAACCACAGAATGGTCTGGGTTGGAAGGGACCTTAAAGATCACTCCAGTACGAAGACATTAATTCTGGCAATGCATTAATGAGATGGGTACTTATCTAACTTAGCCTCAGTTCCATTATTCGATTCTTCCCTTCAACAACAAAGCACAGCCCACGACACAACACTGAAGTTTAAACCAAGACTTGCAGCTAATTAGGGTACAAATTAGTACTTGACTTTGTATTGTTTACTAAAGCAGCTTATAACTTTTTGTGTTTGTCTTCCTGATGTCATTAAACTTTTTTTTGTGAAAAATACGGTAATCATCCTAAAGTAGTTACCTTCCTGTTCTCCCTGAATATTTTACAGTCCTTCCCCAAACTGTGAGCTTCCCCCTCTATCACACATGGGCAGTTCTGCAGAATAAACAAGTTCCATTTTCAAGAGCAACAAGAAGTTTCTGAGTGTCCGCGTTACACCAGCTTTCAACAAATATATCTGCCCCACTCTCAACACACATTTTCTGCATCTTCAGTTTTCTGTTTCTTCCTCCCTAAACTCCCTAAGTTAAACAGGCCAGGTAAACAACCATCATTGGAATGTCAAAAATACAACTCCTCATCCTGGCTATAGCTTAATCTGAGTTTCCCAACAACAGAGGACAATTTGTGAGACAGGAACAGTTCCTTCTCGTTGATGTTGCTAGCTTGTTTCCAAACTAAAGACAACCACAGCACAACACTCACTTGGTAGGAGCTTCCTTAGAAGTTCCCTATTAAATTCAGTTATGTGCAGACTGTAACACTTAGTGAGCAAATGCAAGTGGCAACAAGATGCTGCAGAATGGGTTCAAAATGAGGAGATAAAAGATACTTCAGATTATTGCTAAATTGAGGGGAGGAGGGGGAGATAATCACCTTCATTTTGCATCGCCCTTCCAAGCACACTTGGTATAATGAATTTCACTACAGTTACACAGTCCTGAAATACTTTTATCAATCATCCAACAGAATACAATTAGCACCAAAAAGTTTCAAATCACTTAAACAGAGTTTTGATATTTA